CACGTGCACAGACCTTGTGATGGGTAAACACAGAGTTGTGGGGACAACAAATGGGGCAGAGCGTCTCGCCAATAGTGACATCGCTGAATACCACGTCCTGCGGCGCACCTTAGACGCATCGTTTAACTACAATTCATATTCCCTATTAGGGGAGTTCACTATAAACGAACTTGGGATAAGGAGGTGAGTGGATGGGTAACAAAGTTAACTTACATAATAGCCACGGCAGTGGTCGCACCTTCTTTAGAAAGGTACTCAACGTAGGGAGACGCTTTGTTGGCATTTTGAGAGGTCATCCAGCTCATGAAATTAAAGCAGGGGTGCAGTTCTTAGTTTATCTCCTGTCCTGTTCTCTGTTTATGAATGTTCGTTTACAGACAGTGTTCGCGAGAGCAATAAGTGACGGACTGACGATAGAAAGAAAAGAAACAAAACAAAACCTCGACGTTTTGCCGTAGCGGGGTCAAATATACAACAAGGAAAACAAAAACTATTTTTTTTTGTGTGTGTGTGTGTGTGTCCATTTCTTGTTTTTTTCTGTGTGTTATTTTCTTGAAATTCAAGTCTGCATTGTTGGTGTAAGTCGTTTCCCTGTCTGCTTTGCGCCTCAGTGTGGCCATAGCCTCCTCTATACGGAGAAAGCCTGGCACATCGACGACGAAGCCATAGAGCACGCAGCCGCAGGAAAAAGGAGAGGAGGAGCGCGCCGAACGGTGACCAATATGGTAGCGCAGAGCAGAAAGGGCAGACCTAGACAGCGAGCGCTTGGGTCGTGAGCGGCCGCTCCCCGAACCACGCTTGTTTTTGTGTTTTCGTCACCGTCGTTTTTGTACTCCGGGAGAAACGGGCGCGGCGATTCGAAAGGCCGCAGGGAGAAACGGGAAAGGGTGGACGTTGAGTTTCTCCTCTCCACGATAGCGACAAAAAAAGAAAGAAAAAAAAAATAAAAGATTGTTTCTGCGTTTGGCCGCTCGCTCTTTTGTGGCGCTAGCGGACAAGGTTCTCTCCGCTCCCGTTTCTCCGCCCCTCCTTTCCCATTTACGGCGGCCGTCTTTTCACGCGACACGCCAGGCTTTCTCCGTATAGAGGAGGCTATGGTGTGGCAATCTTTACTTCCGTAAACCCACCCCTTTTGTTTGAGGATTTTTTTGGGGAAATTCAAGCAAACAAAAGGCGCCTTTGGGAAGGCGAGGGGAAAACCTCATTGTACGAACTTTGGGCTGAAATATAAGTAACAATCGGCAAAAAAGCGATGTTTTCACGAGCTTATCAAACTCACCGTAGATAATCGGAGTTAGCAACAGGATTTGGTTGCTCGAAAGTATGTTCACGTTTGCTCGTGCCACGTCCACGCCACTTCACACCGCCACGCCACTTCACACCTCAGAAAATGGAGGGATGTCAAAAATGTATTTGAGATAATGAGTACAAGATAATCAGAAATGCAATTAAAATAGAGTTTCAAATGCTCTCAATCAAAAGTATTTGCAAGATACCAAGATACTTCAACAAGTATTTGAAATACAGTATATTGAGTACAGTATTTGAGATAGGCACATGCCTGTTCCCTTATTTGTTCAAGGGTCTCGCAATGGTATGGGACCGTTCAGCGGCGGTGATACCCCGCTGTGACAATAGCGTTCCCCAGATTGCGGACGCTCGACTTCGCAATAAAGATTCTTTCTGACGCTTTCCAGATACCAACAGAGAACCTGCGACCTTTACATACAGTGCGTTGTTTTGCGAAACTAGAATGAACTCTTTTTCAAACGTCCACCTAGAAACATTGGTGGTCGTCATTTCTTGGAACACGAAGCGCGTGATTGGATGCCGAGTCCTTGCCGAACTCTGACGCAGCCCTCGTGTCCAATACACGCTCAGATCACGTGATCGAGCAATGGCGGACCGGCGACGGCGCGCACTTTTGAAAGGGGACTCGCGCGTCTGAGTGATGTACCGTGATTTTCCCACGTTCCACGAACACTCAACACATGCCAAGTTTTAAAAGGCACCACCACGCCTCTCCTAGGTCGTAAAGCCGCGCTCGAACTGCTAATACGTCGTACAAAAGACTGTCTGTAGACGCTGTCTGATGCGCGTTTCTTCCTTGTACGACTGTCCTGTCACGTTACACGGCACCCATTACAAGTAAACACATTACTTGGAATCGATTGCTTTTTAGAGAAACTTCATAATCATTTGGTTACGTTTATTGCGAAGTAATCGCACGGATACTCTGATGGCTTTTGGAAATATACTAAAGTTACCCGTGACCTTTACTATTTTTCCCTCGCTCTTCTAATGCTGCAAATGTTGAATCGACAAAGTTTCCTAACCAGGAATCCTCGAACCAAGTATCTGACTGGAAAATGGTGGAGCAAAATCGGTGAATTAAGAGCGCAAGCAGTTTTATGCGTGACTCTAACCTGCCCGCCGCTCGCTCTCTCGCGGACGTTCGAAGAACCAGAGGAGCGGGGACGGCGGCGGAAAAAGATGGTAGGAACCGTCGGCCTCGGCGCTGATGTTAGTGCATGGTTCTGGTCGGCGTGATCGTGGATCGCGCAGTTTTAACGGAGAACGCGAGTGCGTTCATATTGGAACAAATGTGTGCCTCTTTGGCAACTAAAAATTAAATAAATAAATAAATAAATAAAAATGTTAATTGTTTAAACGCACGTTAACATTTCCGTCACCCGTGATATTGTCACGAATGACAATTCATGAGGGAACGAATGACTGAAGAAAACTAAACGTTCAATGAGGTACTTCTAAAATACCGTTGCATTCACCCGTTTTTTTATTTATTTAGTTAATGAAAAAGCTTTATTAGCTTTTTTTTGTGCACCCTTTGCATCTGGATGTGCTTGTAATAGAATATTTCGTAACCGAGGAAGTGGAAGGTACAAAAGGAAGCTCTCTGTGATTTGCTCACAAGAGCGCTTCTTTTTGCTCGCGTTCAGCCTGCTTTAAAGGAACTGTGCAACGATTTTAACGTTGAAAGAATTGGCATCTTCTACTTTTGACATTGTTCACCTTGTCACAAATGACAGACAACACACCTCCTTTCATCGAAATGTTGCGATTCCGCCGCGTAATCGCTAGGCAAAAATTAGAATATTCCCCGACCTGCAGCCGCTAGCGGCGGCCATGAGAAACACGCGGCATGACGTCAATGGAGGTCTTGTAGAAAGATAGCAAGTTGTGCGAATACATGCTCGACGAAAGGTAACTTTTCTATAAATCTTGTCGTTCCAACAGAAATATAAATGCGTCAAAACCCTGGTATCATCGACAAAACTTTTATTATATGGAGTTTTAGTGGCGCCATCTATCCTAGGCTCACAAAACCGTCAGCTCTATTTCCTCCTGCGAACAGCCGCCAGAAGCCAAAGGGGGAGGGGGACAGGGCCGGACGGGTATGGCCGGACCCGGATGAGACTTTCCTCCTTTCACCATATTGTTCGCGCGGCACCCGCCAGCACGTGGTCACGCGGCCGCGAGCGGATGAGTTCTCGCTGCTCACTCATGGCTCTAAAGAGAGAACTTTACCGGAACCCCGCGCCAACCCCATCGACGTCATTGCGCACGTGACCCGGAAGACGATGTACGAGTTGAGAGGTGGCAAAAACATGGATATTTTCATTTTTTTTAAATAAAAACTAGGGTATCCAGGCAAAATCTGTTTTCTGTATAGCTCACTTCAGAAGTGTCAGGCATCAACTTCCACAATTATTTAAACAAAGCCCTCAAATGTTTGCACATCTCCTTTAATTTCTTTTTTTACTTGGTAATTCTTTGATGCAAGTACAAAAAAAAAAAGAATAACAGCCTATAAAGAACGTCAAATAAAAATATCTCTATGAGAAAGGTTTGATTTAAATACTTATGATGAATGCGGTGTAATTTAAATTACGATTTAAGTATTAATTTTTTTCACCCTGGTCCGCAGTTATTTTTGCGATCATATGTGCAGCGAACAAAGTGTATCATTGAATGATTTATGCGTGGGACTGCGGCTTTAATGATGCAACCGTCATTGTGGTCAGCATACTCTCGTAAATAAATTAGAATGATTAAAGGGACCGTGAAATGATATCTCGACTCTTGCTCCTTGGCTTTCCTCCTCAGCTCAAAAGCGAAATGAGAAATCACGCGGTCGTGAAGTGCTCGGACAGCGGCACGATGATTCCAAGCTTCCACCGTCGTTTTTAAAGGCCGACGACCAGACTCTAGATTCTGCAAGGCAGAAGATCCTCTCCCTCCTACAGGGTAGAAGGGAGAGGATTTTCTGCTTCCGCTTCCTCCTCTCCCCCTTCTACAGGGTAGAAGGGGAAGAGGAGGAAGCGAGAAAAAAGTGGAAAGCGCGAGCTGGTCGTCGGTCTTTAGGCACACTATGGATCTTGTCATTCGCAAGTGATGGCAAGTGCCTTCACGGCACTTATTAACCACGAACGCGAATTTAAAAATCCGTCGACAGATCGATTGTAGACGAGCGCATATAGGTCCATTGGACGCAGTGCTCGGGTCCAACAAGTGGCTCCCTCGCTCGGCTGAAAGAACTTCCGTTTCCGGTAGAAAGACATACGTTACGCCAAGGCCACGTGATTCCACATGTTGGTGGCCCAGTCTGGTTGAGTCGAGGAGGAAAGTAAACGTGCGTTTTCATCTTTTGTTTTTTTGTGCCATAAAACGAAAACCGACTCCTTCCCCGGGTTTTATAGACATTAAAGATGAATTAGGGTCTTCATTTGGAAGAAAGCTGGACAATCATTTCATGGTTCCTTTAAGAAAAGTGTACCTCTAATGAGCTCTGGTATATAGTACTCCCGTTGTGTTTTTTTTATTTCTCTCTCTCTGAAAGTGTATTCTTCATAGGACCTGCCAGCTATGTGGGGACACCGTAAAGCGCGGGGAAGTGATGTTGATGATGATGGTACCTATAACTGACAAACCAAAGCCCAATCCTCGTTTACGAGAGGCCGCATGTATGTTCCACGCAGGCGCAGCCCATGTCTGCATTGCGGCTCCTGCTCCCTGTGCTCGCGGTCCTGGTGTGGCGTTCCTGCTGCGCCCTGGACACGGAGTCCTCGCCCATCCAGAGCCCTCCGGCACCCGAGAGTCTGCGCTCCAACCCGTGCTCATCTAGCGGTTCCAGCTGCGGAGAATGCCTGCGCCAGCCGCAGTGCGCCTGGTGCACCCAACAGGTGTGCAGCAATCGACCCTTAGCGTTCGCTCCGGCACACGGTGCGCTGCGCTAGAATTTTCGATCCTCAACCTACGTTGAGGAAGCAGTGAAAAACGGGTCAAATGCGTGTGACACAAATTTCGCGCGATGAGCAAATTTGTTCGCCTCTAATGTACTATCGGGGAAAAATGAAATGCGAACAGAAGAGCGCGTGGCTCGCGGTACAGGCGGCGCCGCCTGGAAGTGAGCCTAGGAGCGAGGGTGCGTGGCCTACTCCGACGTATTCACGCCCCTCCCTCTGCGCTCCCCAAGCTTCAGCAGTGCGCCTCTTAGTGCGCTGAAAGCTGTCACCGCTATCTTTGCTGGCTCAGTGTGTGCGGTGCAAAGAAGCTCGCCGCACTCGCCGAGCAGGCAAAGATAGCGGTGTCAGCTTTCAGCGCACTGAGAGGCGCACTGCCGAAGCTGGGGGAGCGCCAATCGAGGGGCGTGAACACATCGAAGTAGGCCACGCACCCTCGCCCCTAGGCTCACTTCCAGACGGCGCAGCCAGTACCGCGAGCCACACGCTCCTCTGTTCGCATTTCATTTTTCCCCGATAGTACCGTATTGTGCGGAGCATTACGGCCGCCGTGAGGCCACAATCCACAATGCCGTGAAACAGACTACCTCATTTTATAGCGCACGGGGACGTCGGAACATCGAGCTCTGGTTGGAATGACTAGTGAGTGGACACAAAGCCAGCTGCTTTTGTCTCTAAACGCTGTTGAACGTTGATTACCGGACGCCGGCGTTCGGCGTTCGAAAGCGTTCGAAGATGGAGTAGAAACAAAGTCAGCTAGCTTTGTGTCCGCTCACTAATCCTTTCAACCAGAGCTCGGTGTTCCGGTGTCCCCGCGCACTCTCGCCTCCTCCTCTCCCTCAGTTTCTATCTGTGTAGCCATTGACAGAATGAGAACGACTGGGCGTGTCATACGAACGCCGGGCCGAAGAGGTTATTTCAGATGCAGTTTTAGAAACATGTCGTGAAGCATCGTCAATGATTTACTCTGGAACTGGCAATGTGGTGGCTCCGTGGTTTCACGCAGAACCGACAACGGACGATTTTGAAAAATTAATCGAGCGACACTGGTGGCCGCCATTTCTAGGGCACGAGGCGTGTGATCGGATCCTGATTCCTAGCCGAACGCTGACGTAGCCCTCGTGTCCAATGCGTGCTCAGGGTACGTGCTTAAACAACAGCGGACTCGATAATTGGCGAAGCAGCTACTAGGTGGCGCGCACTTTTTAAAAGGGTCTATGCGGAGCGCAAGTTCGTCTGCTTCTTGCACACGGGTTGAGATATGATGTCAGAACGCTAAGCTCTTATTGGCTGATAAAAAAAGAAAGAGGGTAGACCTCAAGGCATCTAGCATATAGGTCTACCCACCTTCTTTTCCATCAAGGCCAATCAGAGCTTGGCGTGGTTATGACGTCGCCGTAACTACTGCTTCTTGCTCTCCGCAGTGACATTTTCTCGTTGCATGAACCAGGACTTCCCTCGGGGTTTGGAACGATGTGCCCCTGAGAACCTGCTGGTGGATAGCGGCTGCAGCCAGGATGCCATCGAGAATCCCCAGTCCAGGATGATCCAGGAAACTGTAAGCATACCTGCTTCAAAATCAGCGGCGGTAGTAATCGCGGCTAGTACTATACCTATTGAGGCATCGTAAACTGTGCTACGCCAGCATTTTGTTATGGCTATTTCTGAACGAACCCTATACGCACCTCTGTGTTCGTGTTCTGTTCGCAGAGAAGCTGATGGCGAATTTCATTGGTCGTTTTGGAGCGCGCCGGATCGACTTTTCTGGAGCGAGCCTATTTCATGGGCGATCGGGATCGAGACGGACGTGTTCCACTTGTCGTTTCGGATTAGCTCCCGCTCCAGATCTCGATCTGGATCCAAGAAAAGTCGCTCCCACGATTTCGGCGGATTCAACCGGGCCAGCCCTCGGCGCACATTCGTGACTTCCTTTCTCGCGGGGCATTTCGCCTGATCTCGCCCATCTTTCCTTAGAAGAATTCGTAATGGCCGCTTGCTTACCCCTTGGTAAAGTTACACTTGGCTCGACAGTCGGTTACTTTTCCAGGAAGCAGAAGAGAAGGTTTTGGCCGCGCTACGGACATTCCGTCAATCTTTGCTAGAAGCTCCTGAGCCATTCCTGCCGCTCGTGCGCCCAACACGTGTTAGCACCGCGATTGCGAAAACGTCTTCGAAACGACCGCGGCGGCCGCGGAAAGGGGATTCCCAGGCAGTTGAATGACGGAAAGGCATCCGCCGATCCCGGAGCAGTGGCCATGTTTCACTTGGGATCCGTAGGCGGCGCGACCCCATTCGGATCGTGTGCTCCATTCCGGATCTGGTCAACTGATGCCAGCGCGCTCCAAAACGCCCAGTGGAATTCGCCATGAGAAAGGAGAGGAGATGAGAGTGCGTGGGGACATCAGAGTGCCGAGCTCTGATTGGTAAGATAGTGGGTAGACTCAAAGACTAGATGTATTTGTCTTTACCCGCTCTCTCGAAGCAAACAAGAGCGTCGTCGGTTTCTGGCGCAGGGCCTAGCGCTCAAATGCCGGTGTTCGATGTTAGAATTCGCGGTCGTGCTTGAGGAGCAGACGACACTCTTGTTGACCCTCACTGGATGGTGTCAGTGGCCATAGACAAAATAAGCTAGCCTTTGTGTCTACCCACTAAACCTTCCAATCAGAGCTCGGTGCTCAGACGTCCCCCCCCCCCCCCCCCCCCCCACGCGCTCTCATTTCATCCTCTCTCGCAGCCTGTCCGTAGAGGGTTTTCATTCTATGACCGTGTTTTTCTAAGGAAGGTGACATGGGGCCATTTGGTCCTACGACGCTCTTCCTTTTCTTTGCTGTAAAGCACATGAAAGAGCTTATTCTGGCTCGAGCACTTAGTTTTGGGCGGTGCTTCGCCTCCACGTCGGCCCACGCTGCTTCTTTGTTTAGTTCCTGTCATATCGTGCCAGCATCGGGCTACTTCAAAGAGTCCCCTCCTCCCACGTGAGAAGACAAACAATCGATATTGCTTAGCTTCGTCCAGTCTTGCTTACTCTGGGAGTCTTGAGAGTCGTTTGATGTGGCCGACAACCTAACAGCTATGGACCTTTTCACGCATGGGCGCCGCCATCTTGAAAAACCGTGACGCGCGTACCAGTTCTTTGATTCTACTCTTCGCTCTACTCGTCACTCCTCGCATTGGCGAACGCGTTGTATTTGCGTGTTTCGTCACGTTTCGCCGCGTATTTTTCATTTGCAAGACGCTGCAGGCTGCTGAACACGCGTCATGGTCGAACGCCGATAACGTCGCTAGAGGCATTGCGCGCGTTTTTCGAAGCGTCCCCCATCCTTCCCGCAAGCACATGCCTGATGTCTCTCAAGTTCTTTTGCGAGATGAGTTTCCTAAGACGTTAATATTATACTACGTCATAAAATAAATTTAGACTGGACAGAAATCACAAGTACAACATTGTCGAAGTCTCCAACTGGCAGCTTGATATATATGGGTTGCGCTGACATCACATCGCATACTTTTGACCACCATGTGAGATGGGAGAGAAACTGCTTTTGTACGAATTTTGAGTGACGGGTTAATTTTCTATCATTTTCTGGGAGGAGAAGAGCGACGCCTGGGCAAATCCGGGAGGCACAAAAGAGGGTCCTGATTAAAGGGGAGCTCCTCCTTGCCCTCTTCTCTGGTGGTCATCGGAGCGCTCTTTGAATGATGTCACGTGCAACCCATGCAGACTTGTACCGTACGCATTACAAGTAATCAAATTACTTGTAATCGATTACTTTTTGGAGTAATTTTGTAATCAGTTGATTACTTTTATTAGGCAGTAATCGCAAGAGTAATCTGATTACTTTTTGAAGTAATAAAATTACTTGTAACCGTTACAATTCGTCCACGGGAACCCCCCCCCCCCCCCCCCCCCCCCCCCGGCACACGCCTTTTGTTTAATGAAATTACAAAAATAAAATTTGCTTTTTTTTTTTCGAACGGAAAAAAGGAAGATTTTTGCGGAGCTGTAGGAAACGAGGTCAATCTCTTTCTATGTACAGTTTCTGTGGAATGTCCGTTTTCTTTTTCGAGCTGGGACTGGGAGTGGGAAGCCCCAGGGAAGCCACAGTGCGTGACAAAGGCCATTCAGGGCGAAGTTTGAGGAAGCAGGATGTAGCTTTGTGAATCCTTCGTTCAAACTAGCCCCCTCATGCACACACACACAGAAATAAAAAAAAAAATAAAAAAATCTTGCTTAGTGAATCTACTCGCAGCCCGTAGGAGAACCAGAACCGAAGAATGAAAAAAGCAGATGCAGAATATAACAACGGCAGTTGAAATATTTCCCCATTTCCACTACGTGGTCTTTGTGACAAGCAATGTTTCGAGTTGAGAAGTGGTCGGGGCGATCTCTTCCGCTAATGGATACTACACATGATCCGTTTCAAATCCTGGAGCTGCTGCTTTTTGTATAACATGCGAGCTCATCCACATGTGAATAATAATATGAGCGATGCAAACTTTGAGCGACAATCCTTGCTTAAGCTTAACAAGATCTAGAACCCCCCCCCCCCCCCCCCGCTTCCCCCCCTACACACACACACACACACACACCGGCGAACGCCCAAATCATTAAACGTCGTCAAACGAATTCTATGCTTGTGTCCGCATTGTGAAGGTGCAACGACCACGAAGAGGGAGCCAGTTTTTCTTCTTCGATACTTGTGCAAATGTGAAATATAGGTTGGAAGTAGTTCATTGGTTATGAGCGCTAAAGATGTGTCTTCACACAATAAAGTAATCGGAAAAGTAACGATTACTTGTTTAAGTAATGTCCAATTACCTTTGCCGTCGAGTAATCAAGTAATCTAATTGAATACTTTTTAGCCAAGAGTAATAGTAATTGTAATCGATTACTTTTTTTTAGTAACGTGTACAAGACTGAACCCATGTATGGTCGCGACGTTTTGCTTGCGCGAGTGTTTAGACTAGCTTTACTTTATGTTTTTACCTTCTCAGAGGGTTCGTTCGTAGTCAAAGCCAAATTTGTTGTATGGAGGCTTATATAGCAGGAAGAGAGTGTCGCGAAGTTGTGCTCCCTCACGTGTTTGGTCTATTTTTACTTAATGTTTTAATCTTCTCCGAGGGTTCGAGGGTTCGCTCGTCTCCACGGCACGGCTCATGATTCCTGCCGGAGTTGGGAGGCCCCAAATGGGGGCGAACGTGACCGTTGTCCAACGTCGACGAACGCAACCCGCGCCGGCGCAGACCGACGTTCGTCGGCCACTACCCCGCGCCGAGAAGCGCCCGAAGGATAGTGTTTACAGTCCAGCGTAGACCAACGCTGGTCCAGCGCCCCCCGACGAACTTCCCTACTTTGGGCATGCGCGTCTCCGTAGTAACCGCATCGCCTGTAGGGGTTATCTATGGGCGGTAGCTTGCGCCACCTAGCTTAGAGGCATTCGGTCAGTGTGGTTCGTCCTCGTGTTGTCATGTCGCGCTTCAAAACAACCATTCGGGGTAGCGGTTAAGAGTTAAAAAATAAGCTAATGATGGTGATAACGAGTGCAAACCAGCATTCATTTTATCCTAAATGTCACACAAATGTAAAAAAAAAATAAAAAATAAAAAAGCCCGATATTCCGTCCATTCAACCTAGCTGCTTCGCAGGTTCGCCGGAATCGTGCCAAGCGATTCCGGCGATTTCGCCAGAATGCTTCAATGAAATCGATGCACTCGATATTCCGCAGAGACCTCTTTCTGACAGGTAGCCGGTGTGTTATCATCATAGTAGACTTTCACGTTGACTTAAGAAACGGACATCGAAGAGAGCAGACGATGCCTAAATTACGCAATGTACACGTTCGAAATTGTAACGCAGTTTACAAAGCCCATAGAAACAATACAGGATTCAGTCCAATCGTCATCGCGTACCGCTACTATCGTTTACGAGCTGAGACAGCCCAATTGAAAATTTCTGGCCGGCTAAATAGTTCAGAGGTTTCACTGTGACCGCTGTTCCCGTACATTGGACGACGCTTTTTCGATCGGGAACGACTGCCGGTGAGTGCGACTAGCAGATGATTATAAATAGCACACACATTAGGTCATCCTTAATTCTTATTAACCCTACCTTTGGCGCGTCATCGAGCTTCCAGCTTTTGCCGGCACCCCAACACCACGGCCCACTACCGCAGGCTCGTTAGGTCGATAGGCCTATCGAGAATCGAGGGTAGCGCATCCTCGGAGCAGTCCACGTCCACGCACACACTCGCCCAGTCAAGCGCACGAACGTTACATACGCACACTAACACGGAAACACGACAACAGCACACGACACACGGCAAGAACGACAGGTTCAGATCCCAGAAATGAGCATCTCGCATCACACTCCGACTGGCCCTGACGACCCCGCCAACCGGATTCCCGATTGCCGAATGAGAGATTCGCGCGAGGGTCTCTGGGATAGCCTCCATCGGCAGCGACGTCGTCGAACGTTGAACATAGAGCATGTCCAAGTCCGTCGTAAGCTACGCTGTCGCGCGTCAAGCTGCTTGCGCTGCGCCGCGTTCAATTTGACGTTGG